TCATTTAGACGCATATTCCATAGAGTAATTTTCAAATGTAAGTCTAAAAAAATTTAAGTTAGAAACTTAAAAAAAAACAAGAAACAAAAGAAAAAAAAACAAAGAAATATGACGAACCAATTAGAAACTTAATCATTGTGAAAATTTTTTATCAAATTAAAAAAAAAAAGTTTTATTATAAGTTTAATTTCAAAAAATTTCCCACGTATTTTATTGTTTTACGTATTATAAAAAAATTTTTATTTATAACTCACTATATTTAGATTAATTAAATGTAATTCTACATTTAATGAATCTAAATATAGTAAGTTGTTTGTATAAAAATTAACTATTGTTCTTGATTGTTTTACTAAATTCTATGATAAGATCTATTTTATCTTCTAATGAATCAGTTTCTTTGTAAGTTATTTTAAAATTATCTAACGGTTCATTTATGAGTATTTTTTCTTTTTCGAGGCTATTATGTTTGATAAAATTTTCAAGTAATTTTTTTACTTGTTTTACTTCTGATCTAATTTCTGGTATTTTGTTTTCATAGTCTTTTTCTTTCAAATTTTTATTTTCATTGATGATTTGTTGATTGGCGAGATCTGTTTTTTCACATTCATTTTTTTCTTCTAGCAAGAGTTTATTTTCATTCCTTATTTTATCGATTAGTTCTTGAAGTTTTTCGAGTTTTTTTGATGAGAAATTCATCTATAATCTTCACTAATTTTTTTGATCAAACTTAATTTGTTTTTCAAAGTAGGATGAGCTATTGTTTTATTAAAGTTTTTTAATACAATATCAGCTTTTTGATTTAATATTTCAATTGTTTTGTGTACTTCAATATTGATTTTCTTTTCTTTTTCGAGTTGTTCTGATTTATTTTTTAAAGTTCTTTCTAAAAAATTGTAATCGTATTCTAGATTTTTTAGGTCTTGGTTAATTTTTCGGTTTTGTTTGTGATCTTTAATTTTATTTTTACATGTAGAAATACTATTTTCTAGGATAGTTTTTTCTTTTTTTAGTTCATTTATAATTTGTTGAATTCTATTCAGTTCATTGGAACTAAATGACATTTTTTATTGATAAAAGGATATTTTAATTTTTTATTTATTTATATACTTTAATAAAAAAAAAAACTAATTTTAATTGATTTGTGTAATTTTGTTACATAATTCAACAATAGTTTCTATTTTTTCTTCAATGTCGGTTGACTGAAGTATACCAGTGGGAGTTTCAAATTTTAAATTAGTTAATATAATATCTATTTTTTTATCCAAGATATCAACTTTTTTTAGCTTTTCTTCGTATTCTGTATTCTTTTTGTTCATTTCTTTTAATAATTGTTCTTTTTTTTTTGTTCAATCTTTTGTTTTGATAAACAGCAATTTCGTTTTCTTTTTTTAGTTCTTGGTTTGTTTTTAATAATTTATCATATTGACTGTTTTTTAATATATCATTATTTTCATTTTCTAGTTTTTCGTTTTCTTTCTTCAATCTGTTTATTTCATTTTGAATTTGTTGTAATTGGGTAGAAATCATTCTTGAATTGTTTTTATGTTTTACTAGCCAAAACAATTTTATCTAGTTTATTTATGTTAGAATCCAAATTCAAAAAATTAATTTTTAATATAGTTAAGCTGTCATCGATTTTTTTATTCAAATTTTCTAATAGTGTTGTTACTCCTTTACACAATTCTTCATAAATAAATATACTGTGACCATTTATAAAATAAACAAGTTGGTCATTTTTTTCTGTTAATTCTTTGTTTTCTAAAAAGAGTTTTTCGTTTTCTTTAATAAGTTTTTTACATTTTTCATCGATGTTTTGTAAATTTTTATTTTCATTTTTAAGGGTTTTATTTTTATTTTTTAGGGTTTCTAATTCATTTACGATTTGGTTTATTTCGCCGGAAATTGATATTTGATTTTATTTAATAACAATATATTTTATTTATATAGATTTTTATTGAACTTTTTTAATTTCTAAACTAACTACAATAATTTTATCAATTTTATAATCTAAATCTTTTATTGTATCATATTGTACAATAAAGTTATCTAATATAGTATTTGC